CCTTTTTTTTAAGGAAATCAATTAAAAGACATTTTTGGATTGAGATTTCCCTGCAAGATTTAAGTTTTCATTATGCTACAGAGAATTTGAGTTACAGTACATCTAAGAAAAGATGAAAACATTTAGCTTCTCTGTCTTATTTTTACCCAGATCAACCAGAGTTTATTTCATTTAAGTGCTTTATCCAGCATGTGCATCCCTTTACTATTGGGTGATTTTGAATTAGCTTTATAAAGATTACATGGATAGACGTAGCATTGTGGTCGTTAATAGAAACCTGTGCAGTGAGGTCTATGGGCTGCAAGATCACTAACATGCCAGTGACAGTGAAGTATGGCCTTATCGAAAGGAGAATTCATAAGAGGCTGCCCTGGGACACTGCACCACTGTCCTTCTGTGTATCCTGACAATGTTATCTGTCCTCTCAGTACCGAGTATCAAATGTCTGTCATGAGTACAGAAATTAATTTAATGTCACCTGAAGACATGCAATTAATCTTTTAGAGGTTTTCATAATACCTTTACAGAAAGAGTTGCCAGTTTGGCGGATTTGGATTTTGGGGTTTAGCGGAAGATAAGGAAAATTAATTTTTCATCAGGGTTAATACAAGCTAGCAGGGCCACAAAGGCTGAGAAAAATGGTTTGGGAATTTGTCAAGTGTTGTCACTCTAGAATAATGCTGCTTAACGTCTGATAGGTGTAATCAAGAGTTGAGATTTCTATAGAGGGGGATTAATCAATTTGCTCACTACAGAATGCAAGTTGGTGATACCATTCCTTCGTGGGGTTTAAGAATGAAAATAAGATTTGATCTGTCAAATTGCAAGCAGCTCTGACAGTATCAGTAGGCATTTTTATCAGTACATTTTAAAGAATTTGTTATAAATAAATTTGTCCTGCTAATGTTGGTGGCAAATAAACTTAATCTTCATTGTGAAACTGTCATAATGATTATGATAGAGTAGAGAGTTTCAGCTTGCTAAATTCAACCAGTCCCTCATAAAATTCTGCTTTTAGAATTTGTGATATCATATTTGACAGAATGGTCTTTATGTTTCTCAAAACACAACACTGAGAGTGTGTGTGTATATATATGTACATTGATAGAGTCTCACTATTGAAAAACAGCCTCAATAAGTATCAGAGAATTGGTTCTAAAATTCATGGCTGTTGAAGGGTGTAATTTCTTTTTTTGTTAGTCCAGTTTCAGATCAATCTGTGCAGACTCTTCCACAGTAAAAGTTTGAAAGCCATTCACTATGTAGATCAAATCCTTTTGCCTCGATCTTTTGAGTTTTGTTTAATTGCACACAGTATTTGAAATTAACTGGTTGTTTTGGCCCTGCTAATGATCTTGCAGTACTTGAAATTTAAAAGATAGATTTTATGCTTTCACCTGAACAGAACTGTTGGTACTTAAAAAAAGGCATTTTCATTACTCTAGAATTAACTAAATAGCGGTAAGGTTTTGTTCAAGAGAGCTCTTTCCTGGCTACATGTTGGGAAGGTAGACCTTTTTATAAAACCTGGAAATTTAGAGCGTGAAGGTCAGAATGATTTGTAATACAGCAATTCAGCAGTAGACTTAAAAATACTCTTCCTTTATTGGTTTGCAGACAATGAATGGAAATTTACTTTTCTGCAGAGGACTTTAGAGGAAATTAGCAGGATAAAATCAGAGCTTGAATCAATCAATCTCAGGTCTTTGTGGTGGACCAAGAAGTATTCTCACCTGGTTTCAGCACTTTGTGCATCAAATTGTATGAGACAGGCCATGATGATGAATAGATGCATCTCTGAAAAATTTAGTATTGCTCTGTACATCCCAAAATGCTATAGAAAAAAAATCAGATGATAATGTGTTTTGACAAGAGAAGTCTTGAAATTTTAAAACCTCCTTCTGTTGCTACATGTTTAAATTTGGGGAGGGCAGTGATGTAGGCTGATGAAAAATTAGCAGTGTAGAAATTGTCTGTAGGAAAAGCAGCAGTTGATTTCAAATGAGCTAGAATGGAGACTTTTTAAGTAGAAGATATGCTGGCAATGTAGCTTCTATGATTTTGCTGACATTTTGGATAGCTTCTGCAATATAGCTTCAGTTCACTTGCCTGCTTGCCTGTAGCTTTGTCTGTTTTGATTTACCTTCTGGGTTCCAGCTCATATACCTCCTGAGTGAAAATCAGGAATCAGCATATGTACAGTCATATGTGTTTTCCTCCAAAATGTTAATGTTCTCATATAAGTGTGTCCTGTAAGTAATGTTCTGAGGTTTTATAGCTTTAAGTCCAGATGTTAAAAGCTCTTTGTGTGTGTTTGCATGATGTAGTTCATTGACGTGCCTGAAGAATCGTAGAATCACAGAATGGTTTAGGTTGGAAAGGACCTTAAAGATCATTGAGTTCCAACCCCCCTGCCGTGGGCAGGGACACCCTCCACTAGACCAGGTTGCTCAAAGACACTAATTGTCTTGCATAGAAGAAGTTTAAATGATGATGATGGTGGTGAGTCTGATTTACCACTAAATGCTGCTGCACAGGTTGTTTGCTTTGGCTTTGGCTCGAACAGTGCTTGCCCTTGCACTGTCATGTCTTTAACCAGCGAAAAAGGAATTGATGCTAAAATTTGTTATCTGAGGCTGTGTCATTTTGCTTGTTAGGCACACAGTGACCTAGGGGTCATGTTTGGTTTTCCTTTTCTTAAGAAAACCACCGAATTTTGTCTTTGGTTGAAGCCAGCGCTACCTGTAACAGGAAGCAATGTGTTGCTGACTTGGAGGGAGCATTGTTAGTCCTTGGGCACCAAGTCACTCGCTTACAGACCTCCCTTGAGAAGTGGTGCTGCAGCTTCATCTCTGGCTCCCCTCTTCAAGTCACTTCAAAAAGCAGTAAATGTTCAGAGCAGTAGTATAAAGAAAGGGTTTGATCCAGTTGTCCTTTCTTCTTTCTTGTTGCAAGAACAAGCAGAACTTGCTCCATCCCCTTTTCTTACCCTGTGGGCTTTCTTTATTGTTTTCTGTAGGTTTTCTTATTTCTGAAATATGTTAATTCGTTAAAAAGCCTGGAGGTGTTTCTACCTTTTCAGAGTTTTGCAGGAGCATCATTCTAGCAGTGAAGCCCAAAGGGGACATTTGAGACTCCAGCAGGGAACAAACCCCATCAATTTTTTCATCAGCATGAACCCATGTTGGGTGCTCATGCCTTTGACTCTGTTGTAGTTGTGTGTTTGCTTTATACAGTTTTATTTGGTGATAATTGGGCTTGGTAGTTAAATATTGGGTGGTTGTTGGTCATCTTAGCGTTTATGGGAAATGATTGTTTGCTTTTGAAGTTTCAGTAATGAGCATGTTCGATGTGTTTTGTACCCGAGGGCTTCACTCTCAGATGCTCTTCCTATGTGCTGGGTTCGCTTTTTGGTTTGGTAAGAAATTATTGCAAATATTTATGGTTGTTTTCACAGCAGGCAGTTAGCAGAGATTAGTTTTTAGCTCCCAATTATTGCATTTAAGTTCCTCCTAGAATGTTTTTGTTCATTTTAGTTTCATCATCTTCCAGATGCTGTAGGGTTGAATAAAAAATTATCTGATCAGGGCGTAGGGTTTATGGTGATGCTGATATTGGAACTAATACTAAAACGAGGAGGATTTAATGCTGGTTTCCTGGTAAGGTTTGTTAGTATGCGTATGTTTGGGGTTTTTGGGAGAGGAGGAGAGCTGTTGCTTTTGTATTTTTGAGCAGTAATTGAGAGACTCCAAGGGGAAAGTATAATTTCTCACTAGTTACTGCTCTCACAGGTTTATATACAAAATTTTCTATGAAGCCACGGAGCCATTCAGTTCAGAGGAAAAACCACTTTGGACACTGGATGAAAGCCCTTAAGTGAGAAGAGCTTCAAGCTTTTCCCTGTGACAGATTGTGCTTTTGAAGTGTAGGCAGTGCAGAGGGGTGGTGAAGCTGATTTGCCTGGGGTTAAAGTATTTGAGTTGTTGAGAAGTTGTTGCCTGCATATACCTGATGATACAGAGGGCTTGATTTAGGGGTGTGAATTGTGAACTATTGAACATGCAAACTTGAGACTATCCTACGTATGACCTGTAGTGGACTATTTCTCTTCAAATGATAGTGAAGAGACTTAACAACCGGTCCTCAGTATGAGTTTCTTTTGCTTTTGTTTAATGGTAATAGAGAGGTAATGATTTGTATTCTCCATGAAGATAATCTCATTCTTCCTTATGTAGCTTTGCATTTTGTCTCCATATGTGCCAGAAATATGCTTTTACTGTGCTTGATTGCAATGAGGGATGTAGTGGAAAGGGCTACATCGGGTGAGAGCGGGACTGAGGTGATGTTTCTTTGTGCTTGTGATTATAAATGTCTATAATAAGAGCTTTATAAAAAACTGAACAAGACATTGGGTAAGAACTGTTCCAAGTCTGGAGAGTGTTTGAGGAAAGAGATTGCTTATAAGGCTGCTGGTATAGAAGATGGCAGAATAAATACACACTTCAAAATAAATACAGTTTTTAACTAAAGAGAGGTTGGAGTTTTAAAGATGAGCAGAGTATTTGCCTGGTTCTTCCAGCATTCACAGTTCTTTGCTCCTCTTTCTGCAATGCGCATGTCTCTCTGGAAAAAAAAAAAAAAAAAAAAAAGAAAGAAAGAGTAATAAAGTAATGCACACCATAGTTTACATATGAGGGATTGGAAAGTTAAAACACCTTGCTGCTTTCTATATGAAAAGACATTATTGAACATTGTAATGATAATAAAGTCTGAACAAAGTAAACTGTACTTCAGAGACCATGGTTTTATTTTAAACTGAAGCCCAATTTCCAGGCTGAACCCTTGCACAGACCTGCCCTGGCCGTGGGTTTGCTGCAGCGGACAGACTGCTCACTGGGTGTTCTCTGTGCGCTGAGCGAGCTGGATGTGGCCGGAGGCTGCTCAGGGCGAGGGTTTGCAGTGCCTGGACGTTGAGCCGCCTGTTGTGTTGTTGATTTCAGCAGGGGGGAGAGGATGCTGGCTTTTTTCACCCAGAGAGCCAGCCCCAGCGGCCTCAACAACCCCTGGAGCCGAAACAGCAGCCAGTGAGGAAGGTCACATTGACAAAGGGAATGCAACAGCAGCAGCACCAACAGCAGCAGCAGGCACAGATCCATTCACCAGCTCCTCAAGGAGTCAAAAACATCCAGGGAATCCATCAGCCTAAAAAGGTGATTTTTAGATGCATATTGCTGCTAGAAGTTTTACTGTCTAGCTGTGTTGCTCCATTAATCACTGGCATTCTGTTTGTCAATTGCTAGCACAGGTCTGCATGACCCAGGAGATGCATAATTGCATATAAAGCTTTTAATCTAGAGAGACCTGTTTGTACCCAGCACAGACTGGAGATGCCTGCAGGCATCTGCTGACTTTCTGGCCAGCACAGTACTCCCTGGGGGAAATGCGTGTGTCCCAAGATAGCTGCTGTAGGAGATGGTGTCCAGCATACTTTCTGGGTTTAAAACCAAGAGTTTTTCTGAAGTTGTGCTTAATCTTTTATTCTGGCAATTTCCTGCATACGTAGGAGGGCACAGTGACTGTTCCGGGATGCTCTTTGGTCAATCCTCAGAGCTGGTATCTCGTCGCTGAATTTTCGCACTGATTGTGGTCTGGGAGGAGGGAGGGAGAGGATTTGGGTGGCACTGGCGTGTGCCTTCTCAGCATTTGCAAACCGGCACGTTCCCTGAAAATAGCTGGTATTTTGGCTTTTAAGTTATTTCTTGGGTTTGAATTGTTGACCTTAATCTTCATGTAAGGATGAAGTTTCCTTGCTGACGCAGAGGGATGTGAAAAGTTGCGACCTTCCATAGGCTTTCCAAATAGGAATAGAGGAACCGTGTTGAGTGTTAACTCAATGTTAAGTGTTAACTCTTTTTAATGTTTGTTACTGTTTCATTTGTTATTTTTCCTCTCTCCAGCTGTTTGACTTTAATTTACAAGAATTAAATCCATACATTTCCTGCTCCAGGGGATACTGTGATGCCAGATCCTACAGGATTTGGAGGAAAGAAACTTTGAAAATTGTTTTAAAATTTTTGCTGTATGCATATTTACCTATGCATGCTGTTAAGAATCCAAGAGTTAGTAGCAGTACAGACTGGAGGCACTTGAAGCAGTTTGCTGGTCTTGTGGGTACATTAAATTTATCTGTGGGTTGAGAAAAGAAAAGGGAGACGGATCACCAGTTGGTTTTTTTGGCCAGACTCAAAATATGGGAGCTGAACACATGCTGATAATGTGATAAGTGTTGGAACTACGTTATTCATTTTGCTCTGAGACCCTCCATTGCTTGGCTGATCTCTGTTAATGCTGAGGCTTTTAGCCTCAGTGCAATATGTGTATAACCCAAAATATAACTTGCTATCTGTCTTGAAGAGGTTTGTATAAGCAGTGGATGGATATGTTGATAAGTGGCCTTTCAAATCAGCAAACGGCAACAAGCTGTTTTAAATCAATGCCTACTTTAATCAAGTCTTTAAGTAAATTGCCAACTTTTGTATCATCTGTCAAATGCAGTGAGCAGAAGCACTAGGTAAGTAAATCAAAATACTGTTACTTTTGTTGTTGGCAGGTCATTATGCACGGGAGAGGCAGAGGAGTAGCAGGCCAGATGGGCCGAGGACGCTTGATGCCAAATAAACAGAACCTGCGAGTGGTGGAGTGCAAACCTCAGCCCTGTATTGTGTCAGTTGAAGGGCTTTCTTCATCAACTACTGATGTCCAACTGAAAAACCTGCTGATGTCAGTGGGACCCATTCAGGTAGGTCAGCCTCGGTTTATAATTTTTGTGCCAAAAGGCTTTCATTCCAGAAAGCTCAATTAATTCCTTGACACTAAATACAATGTGTGTTTATTGGTAATTTATGTTTGAAGGCACCCCCACCCACACACGCTACACCTGGTAGCAAAGACAAGCATGTGATGATATTGCAGCACAGGAGGTAGGGTAGGATTTTG